GTTGTAGAATTCTGCTGTTCTCGCATTCGTAGTCGCATTCGCGATGGCAGTCGCAGTGGCAACGGCAGTCGCAGTCACAGCCTCAGCCTCAGCCTGCCTCAGCCTCAGCCTCAGCCTGCCTCAGCCTCAGCCTGCCTCAGCCTCAGCCTCAGCCTGCTTCAGCCTCAGCCTCAGTCTTCCTTCAGCCTCGGCCTCAGCCTCAGCCTGCCTCAGCCTCAGCCTGCATCAGCCTCAGCCTCAGCCTCAGCCTGCCTCAGCATCAGCCTGCCTCAGCCTCAGCCTCAGCCTGCCTCAGCCTCATCAGCTGCTTCAGCCTCAGCCTCAGTCTGCCTTCAGCCTCGGCCTCAGCCTCAGCCTGCCTCAGCCTCAGCCTGCCTCAGCCTCAGCATCAGCCTGCCTCAGCATTCAAAATGTGGCCCGGGAATGGAGTTCTGGGAACTCGAAGAACACGAAGTGGCCTACAGTTGGCTCCGGGCATTCAAAATCATGCCCAGGAATGGAGTTCTGGGAAACTTGAAGAGCACGAAGTGGCCTACAGTTGGCTCCGGGCATCCAAAATGTGGCCCGGGAATGGAGTTCTGGAAAATCGAAGAGCACGAAGTGGCCTACAGTTGGCTCCGGGCATCCAAAATGTGGCCCGGGAATGGAGTTCTGGGAAGTCGAAGAGCACGAAGTGGCCTACAGTTGGCTCCGGGCATCCAAAATGTGGCCCGGGAATGGAGTTCTGGGAGCACCAAGAGCGATTTTGCGAGGATGTCCCAAGCGATTTCGGCTTCGGCGGCAGCCTCCCCGGGTCCCGCCCAGACCCCCCTGAGGAGTCATGATGCTCTCTTTTGAGACCACTAGAAACCTATCAGCAAGAGCTGTTAGGTAAAAACAAGAAAAAAGGAACCACTCTTGTTGCTGCACTCCACTTCTCCACTCTTCTTTCTTTCATTTCATCCTCCTCTCATCCTCCCTCCTGCTCCGTCTTCCTCCTCCTCCTCCTCCTCCTCCTCCTCCTCCTCTTTTTTCCTTCAATCAGAATCCGCTTCCGCAGAACCTGGCCAGGCGTTTTTTCTGGTGTTTCTGGTCTGGGAGCTCAGAAAACTTGGCCAGGCGTTGGTTTCTATGTTTTTTTGGGGGGCCTGGGAGCTCAGACAACCTGGCCAGGCGTTGTTTTTGTATGGTTCTTCTGGTTTGGGAGCTCAGAAAACCTGGCCAGGCGTTGGTTTATCTGTTTTTTTCTTTCTGGTCTGGGAGCTCAGAAATCTGACCAGGCGTTTTT